GTACAAACGTTTGTCTTTCGAACAATTATACGGCGTAGGTGAAACAAACAATTCCAATTTGAATTTACCTACAAGCGAGACTTCCTTTAATATAGACGCTGTTACCACAGCACGATTTCCATTACGAAGAACATAATAACCAAATTTCGTATTCATGCTACATTACAATATTTCCTGTCCCTGCATCAAAACATTTTGTAAACTCCGTAAAAATTCACTACCCTCGAAACCTTTCTCGATCTTATTTGAAATACTTACTTCTGATCTTTCTTTTGATATTACACGTATATTTGTTGCCGTTGGAGCGAAATTGGAAACGTAATAAAATAAGGCTTTGATGCCATATTCGAGGTGTTTTCATGGTAATATTATATTGAAACTTTTTTTGTAAATCTTTATTTATAGAAGTCCCACTGCTGAGTTTGGGCCAAAAGTAATCAGGCCATAATCCATCAAGCTGACCAAGAAGGGGTTGGAGGACTTTGACATGTCTTTCAAAAAGTTACTAAGTTCCCTCAGATATGCTGTTTTCCTTACGACGTTTTACGTCACCGTAATCATGTTAAAACAAATATTTGTACATTTTCAGAAGCGCGAGAGCCGAGATTTGAACCCGCTTCACTCAATTTCCAAAGCCAGCGCGTCGCCACTGGACTAACGGTGCCTTTTTACCCGTGTATACAGATTACAGTATAATACGAGAACACTGAAATTAAGTACTAAAATGGTTGCATAGGTTAGTATGTTTGTTCATTACGTAAATACCACTAGACGTTTATTAATGACCCTGCAGTTTTAAACTTCTAAAAGCAAAATAAATAGGTTTAGTTAACATCTGCACGTGAAATTGTCTCTATTTTTACAAGGCAGAATGTTTTGTAGATGCTAGAAATTCTAAATGAAAAGCGTGTGTAGGATTACTTGCTCGACATTCATTTTGTTTTTTGCTAAACAATATTTAAAATCTGTACATGTAATAAAATTGTAACTAAGTCGAATCTGTACATTAAATATTTTTTTAGAAATGTAATTGAAATAGACATTATTATCGATAGCGAGTCCAAATCTATAGTTTTTAGAATTTTTGTCTGTCTGTCTGTCTGTTACCGCATCACGAGAAACCCACTGGAAAGATTTTGATTAAATTTGGTACGGTGATAGCTGGTTATCCAGGTCAACATATAGGATACTTTTTACCGCGGGAAAATATCTCATTTCTGAGAAAAAATACAAAAACTGAATTGTAAGAGTATAGTAATATGTAAAACCTAAGAATTTGGTTTTTGGTCATCTGAACGCGGGCGGAGCCGCGGGCAATGCTAGTTTTTAAATAAAATGAAGAGTTTTGGTACAAGTGGTCCATAAAAGGGATAATTATATTTTTTTTCACATCAACTGAAAATATAACTATAAAACTTTATTATATGTATTTTTGTTCTGAACCAGCAGGTAGTTATGTTGTGAGAAAGTCGAGTGAATGCACTCAACCACACAGCCATTAGTAGTTAGTCTTTCCGACTTTTGAAGACAAAACAACCGTTTATTACACACCACATTGCTGTGAGTAGGTACTGGAGTACCGTTCATTATATTGTATGTTATTGGAACTTTTATTATTTACTTCTCTGTTTTTTTCATCTTCTTTGTTCTTTAATATTCAGTTTTAATATTTAGAAATCTGAGTTTTATTAATATAACGTTGCAAACATGCTGTATAAGTTGATAATCGAATGCAAAAGTTTATAATACGAGCTTTTATATTGGTTACTCGTTCACGGTAAAGTGACAGGACGGATTTTGATATTTAGTGCGTTGATAGAATAAGATCCAGAGTAACACAAGGCTGCTAGTAATAATAAAATTTGCCAAAAAGTGGCGCTACGTAAATATATATATAATATTGTTAAAACAAAAAGCACTCGAGCGAAGCAAGCGATACAAATTATTAAATACAATACATGTATTCAATAGTACCTATTACCTAACAAACATCCGTATAATACAGCAAATTCCAATATTATACACTGTATCAAAACGTTAATAATGTCTAAAATATAACTGTTATTTAACCATCTATTCGCGACAAACAAGTTACCACTAGAAATATTCCAACAATAATAATTGAAAGCGTTGTTTCGTTATTTGCAAGGAATAATTCATTAAACAAACTTTATAAATTGTAAACATGCTAACAAAGTAATCATGATGTCATTCAGCTTCAAATGCTCGGAATACATAAAACATTAAGAAACGTGCAGTTGATTTACAATAACAGATCTAAAATCAATTTAAAGAGCGTAAGTCCGATCGCGTCTCGGAGATCATTTGATAAACAAGTTTATACAACGTCCAGCGCACCCACGCGCATCAAAATCCCGCCGCGAACGACATCTTTTAGCGGAATCTTACGCTTTATTTTTATGCTCGCCTAGTATTGAGCTAAAAGATGCGATGGCGGCGTGCAGATACCGCAACGACATAAATAAAACGTTTTTTTTCACTGAGATACTCGAAAGAAGCACTCGCCTTTGATAAATCTTCAATCTTAGAATCTTAAACTATTTCGAAAGATTAGATATATGTTCAGTTTTACAAAGAGCTCATGTTGTTTTATCAGATATCCAGGAGCTCGAACCAACGGGAGATTAATCATAAAACATTGTGTGGGGTGTTTCACCGTAAATTGCTTGTTTATTCAATGCTCGATTACGTTCAATAAATTTATGATGTTTGTCAGCTCGAATGAAGTATTTTGTGAATTGTGGCTAACGAGATATTTCATGTGAATAAATTATATAATACAGTCACGTCTCGAGAAATGTTAAACTGATACTAATAAATATAATATGAGGTCGGCGGGGAGCAAAAGCTCCGTAATTATCTAAGTCGAGTCTATTGTGAGTCCATCACACGTCAACCACAATAAGAAGGAAATAATTGCATCGGTTTCTATCACAGCACGTTCGACGCTCGAACAAAAGCAATTTGTGTCCGCACGAAGTGGCTTTGTACGTGCGTAGCGTCGTAGGTGTTTATTAGCGCCGATGGTTAGATTGTGAAGATGTATGAGGTGGGTCATGCCGCGCTGCGCCGGCATCTAACCGGGCCGATTCGCCCTAGAGTCACGACCTCGTAAGGTCACTCGGTATCAATTCGCTAATCTCGAATTCTCCTCACTAACTGCACGTGTCTGTTGCCTCTCTGAATGATGGCTTCTAATTAATTAATAAACTTGACACACAGGAGGTTGCGATTTAGAACATTTCTATAAGCACGAGAGAAATGTATTTCGGTTAGATCGTAATACATGCGAGAAGTTGGAAACAAAGTTACATTTGGCGGATATCCAACGTCACTTACATTGTGGTTTAGTGTGCTTGCATGACCAAATTAAGTCGTTTCAAGATTTACACTGGCTAAATTCGAGGATCAAGTTCTTAGTTTGTAAGTAGAATATAATGTCGTTTAAATTTTAGAAAAACATGACATAAATGAATTATTTTGTAATAAACATGTTCTTTGAAGCTCTTTGTGGGTGTGCTCATACAAAGTTGGCGAACTTCCAGATATTTGCTCATCACTATCATACAACACGCTAACTTCATTTAGCAGCAAATAGGTATTCCGTATACCGAAAAATATGTTCCGTGAATCAATTGCGAATCAAAATCAAATGCATAATAATATTTCCATACATCGTATTACTTCGTGAAAAGAATAATAAAACTTCCCGCTTACATAGGAACGCGGCGTATGGTTCACGGTCCATGTATTTTTATTAGGTATCGTTCAACAATCGAGAAAAATCTCGCAAACAAAATGAAACGAGTTAACAAGAAGCTCCGGCAGTTTTGATAAATATCCTTTCGGCGCTTTTCCATTATTCGACGAAAGACAAATGTCCCGTCGACGCGGCATCACGACATTCCCTCATTAAAATGTCCCCAAGCGGCTGTCGTCCCCTCGCGTGCATTTCGATACGGACGATACGATAATCGATTTTATTACCAATCGCTATAAAATAAACGATAACTGAAAAGCCTTTGTTTTACTCACGTCGCACATTTCACCTCGTGTATCAATCACCGTATTATTTCAATACGAGCTAATAAAGATAAAGTGGAATGAATAATGTATCTAATTTGTTGGCATCGTGAGCATAGTGTCATGAGAACGTGGTTATTTTGTCATCGGTATTTAGGTTTCAAAATACGCCTATTTAATATTAATTGATAGAAGTCGTATTAATATTTTAACATCTTGTCAAATGTTTAAAGAGAATTAATCTGAGGCACTTACGTGCATTACACGTTTGTATTATATCTTTTATATAATACTACATAGTGAAGCGGATAATGAGATAGGTACCTATTGTTCGAGCAAGACATTATCTTCCTTACAGTTTGAGTGCTCTAGTTTAATGTACTCGCATAATAATGCAGCAGTAGAAAGCCAGCCGTGTCCCAAGCAAATTTGCTTTAAATCTGCCGCGTCGCTCCCATTTATGATAAAAATAAGCGCCGTCAGTGCTTAGGGAAGCTTGAATTCAGGAAATTGATCACTAAAATAATCTTGTGTATGAGCTATTTGACAATTTTATTCAATTGTTATTATATATGTTATAATATTTTTATTTTTATGTGTAAGTTGATATATTTTATTTCAAACTAAGCTTTTAAAATTAGATGCTTCCACGGGAAATATTGAACATTGTAAAAAAAATCTGCTAGGAAATATATTCGATGACATGTCACAACTGTGAACGTGTTATCACATTAGAATTTACATTAGACATACGACGTACGTAACAAAGTATGTAATTGCCCGAGTCGGTTCATTTAATTTAAATCGAGGCCGTAATTAGCTTGTTATACAATGGAGATGAGTGCGTAAACGTTGAATTCGAGCTCTGCCAACGGTGTTACATGTACCTAACTAATTTGCAAACAAGCTATTATGGGGCTGCAGTCAAAAGCGGCAATAGAATTAAAATACTATTACGCCAATACAAAGTTGATTGAGTCGGTGAGGGGTGCGCGGTTGGCGCGTAGTGTGTCGGCAGCCGCCAGCCGCTTGCTCCGCTCGTGTAATTTGATTTGGAGTGGCGCGCGGGGAGAGGGCCTGGATCGATAAAACGCGGGGGGCCCGGGGGAGGGGGCGCGGGGCGGGAGTAGGGGACCGGGGGGCAAGCACCAGGCGCGTGTTGTTATGGAAACCATAGCTACCATCGCCTCCAGATTTCGTCCCAGTAAATTAAACAAAGGATATCGTTTCAGGCCCGACTTTGCGGTTCCCGTTCGGGTGACAATTGTTATCGGGGAAATCTGATAGAGCGATAACAATAAGTTAGATTATACCGCACAAATCTTGACTCATTCATTTACTCTGGTGGCAATCACTTAGATGGAACTTTATAGAATTAGTACAAGTAAGCAAAGAAGGTTGGAACGTAATATTAGTGGAATATGCCTGTGAAATTTCAGACACAAAGGCCTACGCGCTCCTTTGGCGATGTGGTTCAGTGAGCAGCTTTGCTCGTATTAAACCCATCTATTGTGTATCCAGATTGAATATTAAACTACTGATTAGATACTGCGTTTGTACAACACAGTGTAACCAAATCGTGTCAGTAGAGTGCCGTCGAAGGAATGGGCGTATTATATATTTTTAAAATCTTTCTTTTTATTAGTTCTTTATAAGAGAAAGTGTTACATATCAATATTTAATCCATAAAAATATTTTATTATAGAAATAAAATTATTTCTTTTTTCTAATTTCGATAACGTCGTCAAAGACTTAAATTATTCGGCCTAGAATCGTAAAACTAATTTAACGGCGATAAGTATTATGTCATAACCACACTTATTTCGCTGCCTCTGGCTGTATGTATATTTGCTTGTGAACATTAATAATAATTAATAAGATAAAATATTAATAGCTGACCTTTCCGCTGAGGTTGACGTGTTAAATTAATTATGAAGTTACATGGCAGATGAAATACACAAATATTTGGTTTCGTCAAGGAAACAGTTAAATTATACTGGTTTTTGAATACGATAATAAATTGCTTCAATTGATAGACTTAATGCTTTTGCTAAATCGACCTTTTGAATATTAAATTCATATACTATTGTTACACCTACCATTCAATTCACGATGATATCTGCCCGCGGGCACTACTTACGCCTATTCTAAAATGTGTATTTAAATATTCATTTCTCATTTGAGCGGCAATTATTTATACAACTTAAATATACATGGAAACGAATTTATTTAACATTTGTATTCTATACCAAAGAAATCCTGTTAGTTTTAAGTAAAATGTATAAGAAATAAACAAATGTTGCTGGTCTCTTATTTAATAGTAAAATAATAGGTATAGAAACGCTGGCAGCTCAATCCATCGCCAGTGGCTTCAATCAATAAGTATACAGTCAGTTTATGTCGCTGAGGACCGTTATTATCTTGTTAAGCGATACGTAAAGTACCGTTTATGTGTTACGTCACTTGCAACACGTCGACCTGTCAAACCGAATTCGTGTTTCAATTATCAGTAGCCATTTCGTTATTTAAATTGCCTTAGTTATACCTCATTTGTTAATTTATCGTTTTTTTTTTCTACTAGCTCAAAAAAAACTTACGGCAATTATTTACAGAGAAATTTATAAAATATATATAAGTATCGTAGTTTAAATAGTGCACTAAAGTACTAATGAGTATGTCGCATTCCGAGTGAACAGTTCGAAACACGCCCGAGGCTGTCTGTGGCACAATTGAATAGGCTCATTTAAATCGCCTAGACCGAAGATAAGCAGACATGAAAGGGCGGGCGATGATGCTAATACAGTGAACTTAACCTGGCCGCCGGCACCTTGCGGCGTCCCGCCAAACTGGTTCTACCGACCTTCGCACCGTCTCGCTCCTACGCACTCATGCCACCCTGGTCCTTTTGATCGTAGCGAATGATTTCTATACGATCGGAATGCATGTTCGATCGGCCAATTGACTCATGCAAATTTTGTAAAGCGTTAAATTATAATTTTTCTCGCGTAGCAAGCATGGAATATTGCAATGCAATTATTGCATGGAACGCCAGTGCACGGTGCAACGAGGTAAATACACATAGTTTTACTAATACAAAAATAATAATATATTTTTTATTTATATTTAATTTTTTATACCATTCAGGAACATAATTGGGCGACATAACTTATAAAGTAGGTAATTGCTTTGAAATTGAAATTACTAAATTAGTATACATATTAATTTCTGCCTAAAATAAAGTAAAATGTTGTAAAATATCAGAAAAATATAGGCTATATTTACTATAAATCGATCGAACGACGAATTCGATATCATTGGCAAATAATGTAGAATTCTACGAAGAACGGTATAAATTAACTATTAAGTCAGTGATTTTGCGAAGTATTACCGCGACTATTTCATTTGAAACTAACAAAACATTGTGAAAGTTGTATACGTTCCTTTAACATTGGCAAAAGTGTTGACTGTTGACGAGTCAAAGTCACGACACAAAGCTCTAAAACGAATTACAAATTACAACATACGTTTGAAGTTCAGAACTTTCTTTTAGAGCCATCGCCGATGCTTGAACAACGCAATATTTTCTTTTTGTTTTGTGAACATTCTCACATCTATTAGTCTTCTTCATAATGTTTATATTTTATGTATCGTATCAGAATGAACGGATCGTAGTCGATTTATATCCGCATTGTATGCGATAAGTGGGCGTATTATCGGTTGGATCTAGCTCTAAGCCCTTGCCGAGCTGCTTTTCAAAATTACTCTGATATATTTTACTTAGTTTGCACGCGAGACATTAGTCAGTTACATAAGTTTTTTGAATGAAATGAACATTCTAAAGATTGTAACCCTATTACTGTCCATGGAATATACCTGTTCTAAATGGAAGGGACGGAACATAATGAGGCCAATTTCCCTTACGCGACCAATGACAATCGTCATTTGCATTGATGGATCCTTAACATGCTAAGTTTATATAATTAAGGTATTAAATATTATCATGAAAAAGAATTACTCTACAGGCGTGGTGGATATATAAATTAGTTAAATTGGTAATGTAAGATTAACATTCATATAATTAATAGTATTTACATGCATTCAAATATGGGTATATTTAAAATAAATTGCTTTTACGTCTTAGAAGATAAAAATAGATCAAGCACGTTATTAACTATTTCTTATTGCGCCACGAGAAATAACCATATTTATGTAGTAAAATTAGTTTTACTTATTTTAGAATAAGTACGTGTTTTCAAGAAGACTTTAAAGACAATTGCAAAAAAATTAAAAGACTAAAGGCAAAATATATTACAGAGAATATTTTTTTAGTCTTACAGTTGTAATACTTGTAAAGACTAAAGCACTTAAAGTAAAAGAGACCACAATTCGCATGGTAATGAAACAGGGCTCCGCTTAAATGGAAGGGTTGTTCGAAAATGGCGACGGTAATCGCGTGAACGCCGTAATTGGCCTTAATCAAGCGAGATGGCGTGCGGCCCGGGGCTCTGTCGCTTCTATTGAAACTATTAGTAATCTTTATTGCTTGAATAATTTCGTCGTGAGTCCACTGGAATCCGAATCAACATAATCAGATTGAAATCAAACTCCTATTGTTTATTTAATCAACTACGAAACTGGTACATGTTCCGTGTTCCTAAGTGTTTACCGAGCTTAATTTGTTAGGGCAGTTGATTAATTTTATTAATAAAAACTTATTTAATTTAATAGAATAAGAATTATCTTTTTCTATATCTTGTAACATGTTTTCTTTAGATTATATACTATATGATAGATAAAATGTCAAGAGTGTCTTTATGTAACAGTAAATACTTATATATTATGTAATACGTCTTTCACTAGAGCTTGTACTAAATTAAGCCTAATACGTTTTTATAAGGTTTCATGTTCTACTCACTAATTAACTACAGCTCAATAAACACGTTTATTACCAAAGTCAAAGGCGAGAAAAGCAGTGAAGTTTGGTTTGATGACGATCGTTTAAATGGCTTTAGCATGTTATTTGAGTATTTATAAATGTACGAAGCCATTTCGTGTGTGCACAAATTAAGTATTTTAACATCGTAATAAATATTTACATTAACTTTGACTTCGCTGAAACCCAAAATATTCGTTTCCTTGCAATATCCCATGTTTAAAATATTTTTTCATCGCAGAAATAAGTTAAATTATAGGCTTCATAGAGCCACTTGAACGCTTTACGTCACGCTGCTAATGTGCCTGAGAAAGTTAGAGATAGGGCAACAAATGAGAGAGCTGTTATCTACGCATTACCGCAAACGGTGATTTACGAGGCGGCTACCTACTCCACACATGCTTGCCAGATACCGGTTTCGTGGAGCGAAAAGACAAACCTGCTTGTGAAACAGACGTGAATTGAGTGTTAAACATGCAAGTCAAGACGTTGCATTAATGCTCCAACATAAACAAGATTCGACTGATGGATGTCATGCGAAATGTACCGATCGTGATCACAAAACTCGAATACGCAAACGATAAATTGGATCTGACAAATAGCATACAAACTAGTACATAATTTGAACTTATTTGCATAACTTATCGTGCAAATGCATTTACCAGTATGCAAAATACGTGTACGCTAAATTGTTAGTAATCTGAATAAAGAATTAGCCTGTGGGGTAATAGTTTTTGGACCTTCCGAGAATTTTTATTGTGATTTTGTCAGGTAAATTAAAGGGAAATAACAAAACCGATAGATAACCTTTGTGAGTCACTGGTCATTTGAGAGTTCGACGAATTACTTTGATCTCAATGTTATTCAAAATGAGACGTTCATATATATTTTTTTAATTAAGTAATCAAGTAATATAGAAATGTTATGTTTAAACATTACGTGCAAAAAATAGTAATATTCTAATCGTGAAATATAATATTAAATTACGGCAACAATTTTGTGAGATAAATATTTAACAAAATCGTTTTTGAAGCAATTTAAAAACAAACATTTTAGTTCCTATTAATTTTGTCATTAAAATTTCAGAATGATTGCAATACTGCTCAATTAATAAAAGCTCTAAAGCACTCATGGTTTTGTTACAAACTTATATGTCTCATTGAAAATTTGTACAAACCCGTGGGCTGTGATTAAATGGAGCCCCATTACATTAGCATAGGGCGAGCGTCGAGCGTTTAGTTGGAGAACACG